TTGGCAAACATCAGTTCTTAGCAGAAGGGGAAAAACATTTTTGAATTGTAAAATAAGTATGTGAAAACTAGGCTTTAGTTAGTAGTTGGTCATCACAGGACCAAAAACTTGCAAATTGTTTGGCAGTCACCTAAATTCCGCATTCTCTATACTCCTTATTATCTGCAAGGGTGGGTGTTTTTTTTTTTGTTTTTTTTTTTGGTTCATTTGTGATCAGTGGTAACCCCGAGTACCATATAAATTGAAAAAGAAAGCCTTGATTATGTTTATTTAAGGGTCACCATCTGGGTGAAATGGGTTGTTCTTCATTCCATTGAAGATGACTGGTCTCTGTAATCCCATCTCAGGAGATGAGGTTTTGCCAGACTGATCCAATTTTTAGCATTTTGGTTATATGATAGTTTGCACTAGGTATTTAATCTATATTTACAGCAGAAAAATTTGCCTTCAAAAAATTCTTATGCCTTAACGTTTCAGGCTCAGTTGTTCACTTTGGTTTGGTTCACCCCATTTCAACTAACAAATAATCCCTCAACCAAAATTATATGCCCTCTTGGAACACCATGTACTTCAACTCATAGTAACAACTAGACAAAAATTTTGGCATTTTTCAGGCACTAAAGAGAGGTTTATGCTGCATGATCTATTGGTGCACTTTCCAACAATATCACAGGGAAACAATTCTAGCTTTGGAAACCTTAAATTACAGAACACATTTTACCATGTTGAATATACCTTTCACTTTAAAAACATTATAACTCTGTTTTCTCAGAGTATCTTTTCAGAATATTCCTAACTATAACACTTTGTTGATGTCCCCTCTCTCTGTCATTCTGGAGGGACCTTTTTTCTTACTCTAGTCTTTAACTTACAAATTATTCTAACTATTTAAGGAAAAAACGATATTCAAAACATTCCAATTTTGACACTTGGCAATGCACTAGAAAGGGTTGTGATATCCTTTAGGATAAATACATCATAAGTCTATTTAAAAAATATTCATAAAGCAATGGGGATTAGGGCTTTACTTTTTGTTGCTATGAAATGTCTGAGCTTGACTTTGTCTTGGAAACATGCATGCTGCTCCAAACTGTCTTTTAAGTGAACTTTCAGAAAGAAAGAGCTAAAATCTCATTCTGCATAGATTCTCTCTATAGGGCAATGGGCCTCAAATTATAGGACATGCCTTTGGACCTTCTGGAAGGGAAATGTAAGAATTTGTACAAAATGGTAAAATGATTCCACCACCACCCCCCTCCCTGCAAAAAGGGAGAATTTATTCAAACCTGTCTTATTTTTGTGTGATGTGACTGGC